CTGCTCTGCTGCTGATCCCTAATGAGCACAAAACCAACCAAGACTTCAAATGTAATTAAGCCGTTGTTTAATTCTCATTTTTCCCCCGTGCCGCCGCGTGCTCATGCTCTCCATCCCCAGGGATGAAGCAGCAGGAGCTGGGACTGGCTGCCTCCCCCGTCCGTGGGGAAGGATGCTCCGACAGGTCCCCATTGCTGCCGAGCGCGGAGATCTCCTGGGGGGATTTGTGGGGAAAAGCCCAGAAATTTGCGGTGTTATTCCTGCCGCGGTTTGGGTGGTGAGAAATTAATGAGCTTCCACCCCAGGGCCTCCGGTGGGCAAACGGAGAATTAATTGGGAGGGTGTCTTCGTTAACATTGAGGAGCAAATTGATCTTCTAAGAACAAAGGAGGAGGTTTTCAGTTAGGGTACTTTGCCTTTTTGGGCTTCTTTCTCCCCAAAAATCCCTTTTTATCATCAGCATCCTCCCCCTCAGGGCCGTGCTGCGAGCTCAACCGCAGTATTAGACACCAGAGACTCCCCGTGGGGCGCAGGTCCGTGTGCTCCACCGCTGTCCCAAGCCCCGGTGGGGGATGAAGTTTTTATCAGAGCTGGGAAAAGCCAGCCCTGAGCTGTGACATCCCGGGAGGAAGGATCCTGCCCTGGGAGCCACCACCCCACAGCAGCGGGGATTTGCTCAGCCCTGTAATTCCCCAGCTCCGGAGCACGGCCGTGGTGGTTTTCCGCTGCCGGAGAAGGAAATTTCTCCCAGCTAAAAAATAGCTTAAAGGGGACCCCAGCTGGTTAAAATCAAACAGGCAGCGCTGCCGGGAGGCGGGTGGGGAAGGACGATGGGTTTTGGGGAGCCCCGGCGTGGGGTGCCGGCCGCTGCTCCCGCCAGAGGTGCAGGATTTGGTGCTGCCGTCTGCCCCAAAATTCCCGGCAGCATTGAGTTGAACGAGGCAATGGCTGAGGCTGAGCGCGTGGCCGGGGCGGCTGCGAGATGCCGGGGGGATTTTAATGATGAGGCTGCAGTGGCAGGAACCCCATTCTAAAATTTTGGGGGTTCTTGCACCAGTCCCAATGTGAGGAGCACTTCTGGAGCCTGTCCGGCTGTGCCTCAGTTTCCCCATCACTCTTGAGCACCTTTGGGGTTCGGATGAGCCCCTAAGAGGTGCCCGCCATCCCCCTTTTTCTTTCCCACCCCGTTCCGGCTCTGGGGACGTTTTCCCTCTTGCCCCAACCCCTTCCCTCCCACCACAGCAGCCTCCAGCGGGGAGCGGGGGCCTCGGCAGCCTCCCCACGCCACCATGCCCAGCCACAGAGATGCCACCAAGGCACGGGGGACACCGTGACCCCCGTCTCCTGGCAGGCTGGGGTCTGCCGGGGCCACCCCCAGCCAGGGAGACAGGCCAGGCAAGATGGAGAGTGGGACTTGGGAGGAGAGGGAATCCCAGCATCTGGGATTCCCTGCCCAGGTACCAGGGTGCAGACGGATGCCATGGGGACACGGATGCCGCGGGGACATGGCACGGCCCCGGCGCATGAGCCCCACTGTGGTTAATCAGTGCCAAAGGGAGAAATAAGGTGAAAACTGTGATCGGGGCTTGGGGGCAAGTGGGGAGCGGCTGGAAATGGGGGTGGGGACGGAGGGCTTCGCTCCCGGCCCCGCTTCGCTCCTCTTCCACGGCTCATTTTTGCCCTGGGGCAGGGGCAGGAGGCCTGGCCGCGGTGTCCCTGCCACCCCGCAGCTCCCTGGGGACCTCGGGGGGACGACTGCCATGATCCAGGGTGCTGTGAGCCGGGACTTTGGGGTGATGATGGCCTGGGGTGCTGCCTGCGGGGACCTCAGGGTGACGGCAGCCTGGGGTGCCGTGTGTGGGGACGCTGGGACGATGACTGCCCCAGGAACAGGGTGCCAAGCGCGGCGACCTCGGGGTGATGGCTGCCCCGGTCCGGGGTGCTGCGTGCAGGGACTTTGGGGTGATGACAACCTTGGGGTGCCATGTGTGCCATGTGTGGGGACCTTGGCTGACGACTGCCTGGGCATGGGTTGCTGCCTGTGGGGATCCTGGGGTGACAACTGCCCGCACAGGGACCCCAGCGCTGCCGTTCTCCACCCCCGCAGCACCCCTCGAGCCCCCCCCAGCCCCCCAGCAGGATCCGGCCCGGGACGCTCACGGGTGGCTGTGACACCCCCTTTGCC